AAAAGCACCAAGACCTTACACCCAAAGTGTGCTCGAAGGGTTTCGTGCTGGGTTTAGGGCTTTCGGGCTTTAGGGTTCTAGGGTTTAAGGCTTTATGACAATGGGATTTTGGGGCTTCAGAGCTTTAGGGCTCTCAGGTCTTAATGGCAATTGTTTCTCATTGCTGTCGGAGGAGATCATCCCAGAATCCAATCAAATCGCTCCCCAAGACCTTACACCCAAAGCGTGCTCGAAGGGTTTGGGGCTTTCGGGCTTTAGGGTTCTAGGGTTTAAGGCTTTATGACAATGGGATTTTGGGGCTTTAGAGCTGTAGGGCTCTCAGGTCTGAATGGCAATAATTTCTCATTGTTGTCGGAGGAGATCATCCCAGAATCCAATCAAATCGCTCCTTCAATTCCACAGCTGCCACAGCCCTAAACCCTAAAGCCTTAAAGAACTAAAGCCCTCAACCCAAGGCCCTAAAGCCCTGAAGTCCGAAACGTTAAAGCCCTAAAGCCTCCTAAACCCTAAAGCCCTAAACCCTTAAAGCCCAAAAGCCCTAAACCCTGAAGCCCAAAAGCCCTAAAGCCTAAAGTTCTAAAAAGCCCTAAAGTCCCAACACCTTACACCCAAAGCGTGCTCGCACGACCTAAGGTCCCGAAGCTAGCCCAAGCTGGCAGTAACCGAGAACCCTCAAGCCATAGCTCCGAGCCATGCCAGCTCAAGAATTCGCCGAAGCTCTTACCTAAAGCCATACACCACACACCTGGGGTCCTCGAGTCTGCGAGTGGGAACACAATTGAGCTGAGGATCGGTTCCAGGCTTCGATGGTTCGCTGCCCGAACAAAGCAGCTCGGCGATGTGCAATGCGTTGCCTCGGCTGCTCAGCTATACATTATGTCAGACAATGGACTAGAGTGACTAGAATGGAGAGTCAAGCTTTGAAGCAAGATGCTCCAGCTCGGCCAGCTCTCTCACCAGATCGATGCTTTCAGCAGGCACTTGTGCCTGGTAAGGAACAACCTGTTCCGTCTCAGCATCCAACTCATAGGCCACTGTCCCGACATATGCCGAAGCTGGCTGCGGGGACCCAGTCACCAGGCCCATGCTTTCAGCAAGGTATGCATCAACCTCGCAAGGCTGCCCATCCTCCTCCTCGGCCTCTGTCAAAGCCTCTTCCTCCTCTTCCTCCGCCTCTTCCTCAGCTGGCTCCTCCTCGTCTTGAACAGCCAAGGTTCTGCGGCTGCGAATCTTGGGCTGCCAGTGCTTGCCGACTGCATCGAAGATGGCCTTGAGGCGATGATCCTGAAACGATGCTTGGGTTCCAGCTTACAATCTGTAACTAGAGCCAAGCCCAACACTGACACCCTCAAAACAAAGAGTCACATAAGTAGAGGAGCCTTCCTCTTAGATCCATCGTTTCGCCGATTGATGTAGCTCATGAACATCTTCAAGCTGTGACTTGTGCAATAGATCATGCCGGGCTTTGGGGTGATGTCGATCTCCTCGAAGTATTTCCTAACCTGATGGCTGATATGAAGAATATCAAAGAATAGTGAAGCACTGAATCGTACACTGACATGATCTGAAGCAAAGCACACGACTTCGGTTTCAACCAAGTAGCTTGCTCCTTCAAGCTCTGCACGGGCACTGTCTTGTTGGGCTCATTGCTTGGACAGTACACTTCTACCAAAGCCAGGATAACTTTGTGGTTTAGCACGAGGGATCTCTTGTTGATTTTCCCAACCTTGGAGGGGTCCTCCCACTCCAACAAACTTCCCTTCTTTCTAGAAAGTTTGCGGATCGCACGATTCTCCTCCCAGGCCTCCCAAAGGCCTGACAAATCAACATCCCTTCTGGGCTTGACCGCCCCCTTGCGAGGCGGCGTCTCCGGTGCGACTGCAACGACAGCCATGCTTGATTATGGCAGAAAAAACACTCCTGAAAGTCAATGGCGCAATAAGTAGAATTAGGGAATTATTTAGGGTTTAGGGTTTAGGTTTAGGGTTTAGGGGATTGGTGTACTGCTTTGAAGCTACAGCATCTAAAGTCCGGGCTCGTCTAGATAAGTAGAATGATTCGTATTGATGATTGGTGTATTGCTTTGAAGCTAAAGCAGCCAAAGTCCACTTCGGGGCTCCTCTAGATCCGGCCAAAAGCTTCAGAAGCATACAACAAGAGTGCTCAAGCCATGAGTACCACTGAAACAGTGAAGACACACAGCTCGGACACAAGGGGCACCGTAACCAGGCTTGTCAGCCCACCAGCCAATACCTGCAGCAAGTCACGGGCTACTGGGGATCCGGTTATGCGAAGCTTCTGCAGGCCTTAAGCTCATCCAGTTGGTTCCACCGATATACCTGCAATAAGCTTGGGTGTTTCTGGGATGCTAAATCAAGATTACGACAAGTGGGGGCACACGGACATCCAGAGGGAAGCTGCAAGCGAAGCCCTGCCACACCATATGGACTTAAGAGCTAGGGGTTCAAGGCTAAGGGTTCGGGACTTTGCGATCTTGCTAGCCTTGTGGATCTCCTTTTGGTCGATCGAAGCCATCCACCCAAAGGTCACCAGGCCTGAGGCGAAGTTTAGACAGGTAAGAGAAATATCGGAGAGAGAGAGAGGAAAGAGAGACAACGAAAGATCGAGAGAACGATGCAACATATGCTTGGTATTGGGCCATGCCAAAGTCGGTCAAAGCCTGCGAAGGCAAAGAATCAATCGTGGAAACACAAATCTCGTAAGAAGCAATGGCGTGGATTTCGGAAGCATGGTTTATGCTCGAGGCACTTTTCCCAGGCTCGCATCGTTTGCACCCTCTGAGCATCTACTGCTCATCAGATTTTTTCTTCGTGTTGGGGCCCTTCTCCTTCACGGGTGTAAGAGGCTCTGCCTTCAATCCTGAGCTATTCCCAATTCTGGCACACTTTGAATTCCTAGAGATATGACCGGTTTTACAAGTGCATCGGAGGCTCTCATCTCCTCTTGGGCCTGCCAAAACTGCCTGGCCAGCTGACGAACCGAGCCCCCATCGTTGTAATTTTTCACGATGACCTCGATCTCGGCACCAGTGAGGATGTCCTCGGAAAGGAAAGACTATTCCAAGCTATTCATACAAAAATGGGATCCCTGTGCTGTAAAGTGGCATGGGGCACATCTGTCTCCGGCCACAGCACACCCTGGACTTGATGGAAGAATGCCAAGGGCATGTCCTGGAGTCCTGGAAGTTTACAAGGTCCATCATGAAAAAGATTTGATTGCTACATCTCGTGCGGGAAATCTAGTCAGTCCTGCCGACTGCAACAAACGAAAGCTCTCCATGGGAACAGGCAGATGATCCCCCATGCTTTCGGCTTAATGTTTGCACTAAGCAATGATTGCTTGCCAATGTTCGCATGTTGCCTGGAGCCCAACCGCTGATGAATTCAAGTTCTCTGCTTCTCACAATCAAGCAACTGTCTCAAACAAGAAGAAGAGAGCAGCAGGGACTGGGCACACCTCGAGAGGGCCGGGACAGCCGGCAAGAGAGCCGACAAAGGGCTGCAACAAGCTCCAAAGCAAGAAACGCCGCCAAACTCTAAGTCCCGCCTACAATCGCCCGATCCCGCTGACGGCCGGCAAAAGCCAATTATGGCCGGCACCGGCATTTATAAAAGGCGTAAGGAGTTTCCAGGTAT